TAAAAAAATAATGAATAATTATTCTTATTTTGGCCCATACAATTATCGCATGTAATAACCAATTTGCTTTCTCCATGATTGTATTTTTGAACTACATGCCAAACTAAACTTAAAGTAGAATTTACACCTTTACCTTGCTTACCATCATCGGGCATTTCGGCTTCATCAATTACATAATTGGTCTGCTGTGTATGCGGAAAATTACCAGTATTACAAACTTCAAACAAATGCACCTTTCGTGAACTTTTAAAATATAAAGAGCCTATTTGCTGCGGTGAGTAAGGGATTTGCACATTCTGAGCCCAATCGTATGCAATATGTATACTACCTTTAAAGGTCTTAAATGTTTGAGAACCAACTATATTTTTATTTTTTTTACCATCTTCAATTGCATTCTTAATGTTAGCATTATAATAATCATGTTCTTTTTGTGCATGATTTAAATGAGCTAAATAATTATTGGTAAGTTCTATTTTTTTTTCATGTTGTGTAGCATGTTGAATATCCATTTTTATCATTTCACAAGTTTCGCATAGGTCGGATTTTGGAGACATAAATTGAAGCGAAGGTATTAAAATTTTCCAAATACTAATAAAGGTTGTTTTAGACATAACACGAACATTATTCTCATACTTATCTTTGTAAGCTTGCACATAATCACGATATATGGATGCATAACTAAAATTAGTTGGAAGAAATATAATTGGTATGGAAATTCGGTTAAAATGTCATCCAGGTGAAGGCATACCATGTATATTAGAATAATTTTTTAAAAATCTGAGAATATCACATGCTACTTCATAATTAACTTCAATCCGTTTCATGTTTTTTGGAGCTCTATCAGTATTGCCATATATACGTTCCTCAAGACCATGTTCTTGTAAATGTTGTTTTATAAGGTGAGTAAGGGTATTTTGACGAAGTTAAAGTTGGCACAATTTAAATTTTTTTACTAACCGAAGAAGCTTCAAATAATTATAATAGCACGCAAACTAGGCTCTTTTAGAAAAGATTTACATAAAAAGAATCATAGTACAATGAACCATTTTGGGCCAAAATGATCACGACATTTATAGTACATATAAAAGGATTTTAGGGGGGGATAGGGGTATTCTGACGAATTCGATATTTACACTTAATTTTCCTCCCCCCTGGAAAAAAAATACATTATTATTATTTTTTACGCTTTTGGTTCTCTTTTTCTTGCTTTCTTTGCTCACGTTCTTCCCGTTTTTTAGCTAATTCTTGTTCTCGGGCAGCTTTTCGTTGGGCTGTTAATTCTTTTTTTTTTCGTTTTTCTTCAATCTTTGCTTCCGCTTCTTCGTTTAATTTGTTTAACCTTTGCCAACTTTCTTCATTAGTAAGAAGTTGTGCAAAGGGAAGCGTTTTCCTTTTTTTAGAAACAGCAACTTCGGATTCGGGCTGATTTTCTGAAGATGCTTCTGGAATTTCAGTCCGTGAAGCACGAGGGACCGCATACTTAAGAACTGAGCGTAGAGAAGAACTTCCTGGATTTTTGTAAGTATTCAATTCCTTTTTGGTTTCAGCAAGTTGGGATTTTAATAACTCATTCTCATTCAAAAGGAATTCATAATTTTTTTCTAGTTGGGAGAAACTTGAGCGAGTGAAACGAGTTGGTTTATGAGGTGATTGTAATACTGAAGACGATGCTAGAGGTAACTCAACAGAAGATTGGTTAGATGAAGTTGAAAGATCAAATTGTTCGGTTGCTAATGATGGGTTTAAACGATCCGAACTAATAGCATCTGGATTGAACGGCCATATGCCAGTAGCTTTATAAGCGTTGCAAATAGCCGATGGTGTGTAAGTTTCAATAAAAGCAGGACAAAGAATTTTTGCGAAGGTACGTTTTACTACTATCTTTCCAGTACTGTTATAATACTTGTCACATTCTTTTCTATATTCTCTTTTTAATTTAGCAAAAGGAATTTCAGACGGCTGTAATACGTGTGTCGTGTGAGGTGGAAGCGCATAAAGAAGGATTCCATTTTGGTGGCAGAAATCAACGCTCATATAGCTCACATGACTTTTGTGGCCATCAAGTATCAACAGTACTGGGCGGATAGGCGAGATAGAATTAATAAAATGGTTAAGATACATTCAGAAAAGCTCTTCACGCATGTATCCTGTTTGTGTAAAACCCATTACAGCCCCAGAAGGTGCTCCTTCCAACAATCCAGGAATTGCACGAACACCCTTATAAATAATAAGAGGTGGAATGTATGCTCCTGCAGCTGAAATTGTTGGAGCAAACGAAATATGTTCATTAGAATTTCCTTGCGCAATTTTATGAACTTGACGTGTGCCTTTTTTTGCAATAACTTTTTCCAATGCAGGCGCAAGAGTAAATCCGGTTTCATCCATATTCCAAATTTGCATGGCAGTAAGTAAGTTTTCATCAATAATTTGTTTAAGCTTGTTAAAATGGTCTCTAACAATTGTTGCATTGGCTTTTTGTGCCCGTGCTTCGGACAATTCTTGAGGAACGCGGAATGACAAGTCGGGATGGTCTCTCATGAAACGAGACCACCAAGATTGACCTGGGCCAGTTTCACCGAATGGATGCTGTCGCTTGTTTTGCTGCATAATTTCCATTACGCAGTGGTTAACTCCAGATTTGGTTAAACCAAACCCGAGCTTTTGCATGTTAATGCAATATCCAACAAGTTGTTCCTCCTCATGTTTGGTAAGTACTGTTGGTGGTCCCTGACGATTAGGTGGACCACCATTTTTGATTGCACGTTGGAGTGTGGCTTCTGAAAGCCCAAAATCATTTGCAATGCTGTTTACACTTGGGCGTTTAGAGCCAACAGGGTATTTATTTAATTCAGCAAGTGCTGCGCTGATTGAATCACGTCGATTAACATAAGCTTGCATGATTTTATCAAAAATATCACGTAATGAAAATTAATATATAGCCCGTTATATATAAGTTAGTAAGTGATCAAATATAATTAAATGTGGTCAAATTTTAATAAAAGAAACTTTAAAATGTTTTTATGAAAGTAACGTAAATTAATGCGAATAGAGGGTGTGACAAATAGGTTATTAACCTGGCGTGATGAACAGTTTATTAATTTTGGTGTAACAAATTATTTATTTAATTGGCGTGATAAATATGTACAGCTTGTGTGACAAATAAACAGCTGAATGTAACACAAACTTATCTGGCGCATGCGTAACAAATAAACAACTGAATGTTACACAATCTTATCTGGCGCGTATGTATACGTGCAGAGTAAAAAATCTCAATACACGTTCATCAAAATACCACGTAGAATACTTATTTAATACCTGTCTGTCAAAAGCCCACATTTTTTGTTTCAGTAATCAGAATTAGTTATTCTTTGCACCATTTAATTCGCCTCAATGAGGCGAATTGAATGGTGTAAAAATCTTTCGATTCTGATCAGTAAGTTATGTTCTGTCACTGAGTATATTTAATTCGTCAAAATACCCTATTGGCGATTGTATGTTTTTTTTGTCTAATTTCTTATCTAGTGATCAGAATCAAACGATTTTTATACCATTTGATTCGTCTTATTGAGATGAATCAAACGGTGTAAAAATTGCTCGATTCCGATCATTGGATCACGTGATATTGACGAATATGTATAGTTCGTCAAAATACCCATATTCGTCAAAATACCTTACTCACCTTACTTTCTAAATATTTATGACTAACTCCCATAAGGGCAAAATATGTATCACGGCAGACTAAAATATCATTGTTATAATGGTAACCAAAATGCAAATATTTTCTATCTTTCTTAGTAACTTTTCTTGTATTTTCACTTTTTTGAAAGGCTATAAGTTGTCCCTTTATCACCATATCACGCATATTTTTATCTAGGCTTTCAAATTCAGCCTGACGTGCAAGAAACTTTTCATATCCGATCTGCTCAAAGCATAATTGTTTGGAACGACACGAACACATGCTTTTTTTAAAAAATTTTTGAACACTTAATTTTAATTCATTATAAACTTTATC